TTGCAGGGGACCCGAACATTCTCCTCTGGCCACTGGCTGGAAGTCATCATTTGTGATGTTCCCCAGTTAGAGAAATGACAATGTATTCAAATGAAGAACTGGTCGTCATGCTTATCATGTATAGAGCTGCGGATTGGAACGGACACGCTACCTCGGCGGTTGTACCAGAAACTTTAACGGAACAGGTGTATTCCACATGGCATGATCTTCGCAAGTGTGAACGGAAGGTTACGTGTGTCTGGTTTTGGTCACGTAAAAATTTTGGTGCACGAAGCGCCCGTTCCTTAAGTTGAAGTTCTCATCGCTCAAATAATTGTAGTTGCCGTTAGGATACGTGGCATGCAAGAAATCTTGGAAAACGTAAAGAATTCCATGTGTCACACGACTTCTGGTCGTAATTTCGAACACCTGTTGCGGTGTAACTTTTTAGTAAAACTTTTTCTGTCCCATTGATGTGTTGCTGTTTCTGTTCGCCTCTGCTTCTTTGTGTGAAAGCTCACAACTACGATATGTGCACTTCTGCATTCCTATGTGATTCTAAGTTGTTTCTGTACCCTCTACACACCCCGCAAATTTGTTCGGTCTGATTGCGAATCACCCTGCATAGGCAAAATATTGTTATCAGACGCATTTTTCTTAAAAGGAGAATGTTTTGAAAATATGTCATTTATATTTATTTTTTTTTTGCTAAAATCTTGCATTTAAATAAGATTTACTTGTACTAAATACTCTCAAAACAATTACATATATTTTTTTTTCTTAATCATGTGACACAAAATGTAAAAAAAAAACAATTATTGTTTCATAGGTTTTCACAGACCAGGGTGGCGAACCCTTATGTATCAGCGTGCTTTTTTTTCTGATGAAATGTTTAATGAGGTATAGACGTGCCATCAAATAATTTTGACGTGATTATTGGAAAAATAATAAAACTAAATACTTACAACTCAAAATTCTTTATTTACACCGAAAAAAATACCTTTTTACAATTTATAGTTGTAAATGTTTTAGTTATACGGGAAATTCAAATTAAAGTAACATTAGCGTAACTTCTGATGCTGCAGATTAGATTAGTGGCGTAACGGCGAATATTATGCCCCCTGCAATCTGGCTTTGCCTTTAATGTTTTATAAATTTGTTAAATATGTACTTGATGTCAGGCACACTTTGCGCCTCCCAGAATTCGGTCTCCCCCTCTATGCACGAGGTATACGTTATGCCACTGTGTGTGTGGATTAGATGACAACTTACGTTAGGATTGTATTACAATAACAAATGAGTGTGCTCTCCGGCGCCTTGCGCGGCAGGACCCATCACTCGCATTTGTTCGTAGTGCTTCAGACTGAGTTTTGTTATTTTGAACTAAAATGCAAGCAGTTTTAATCGGTCACGTGCCCAAAATATTGTGTCACGCGCCATCAATGGCTCGCGTGCCATTGGTTCGCCATCCCTGTCATAGACAAACATATTTAGTCACCTCAAGACAGCATTATTTAGTGGCTGTTTCCTAGAAAGTGACCACATGAATCAAATAACATAACATTCTGTGTATGTGATTTAAACAGTTTTAAAATGTAGGAATCATTATAAACTTGTTACATCTTTATTTTATCTCATTTTGTGATGCATATCATGATTTTCTGATATCATAAGCTCATGGAAAATAACTGCATTTCGTGACATAAACTCTGACAAAGTCAATGACATGATGACAAATACAGAATTTTAAAAAAGAAATTAAATACCTCTTGAAAAAATAGAACTGTACCATCTTAATCATTTCATTATAAATCAAATTGACAACTCATTGCATTCATTTGATATTTAAGAATAAATCTTGGAACATTTCTGCTCATTATTATGTAAAATTTGATTTTTATACAAAAGAATATTTGTGATCTCGAATATTCATTCGAAAAACAATTTAACTCTAGATTAGACTGTTCAGTTGTCAAATTATTTATTCTTTTCGTATCGTGATTTATTTCAATTTAATGACCAATTAAATTGAGTAAATAAATGTATCATACATTTTTTTTACATAAATTATAATCTTTTGGCAGCTTCCAGCAGTTCCTCGCAAACATATCGTGTTATTTGGAAAGAAATTTCGTATTTTTTATGAAAATAATAAAAGAAAAAAATACTTTCTTATAGTGAATAAATGTTTAGTTGAACTAAATACTGTCCATTCTGGTCCACTACCTTTTCCCATCTTTCCCATATAATTCTACCCTAATATATATATATATATATATATATATATATATATATATATATATATTTCTTTTTCTAGCAAAAAACATCCAGGAGAGTTTTTGACCTCTTAATTTGAAGTAAAGGCTTGACTATCTAAGGACTTTTGAAGGTACAAGAACAAATAATAATCAAAAGGTACCAAACCCGGAGAATACGATGGATGTGGCAGTACATGCTTTTAAGCTGTAAACGCTTGTGGCCAGTTTCTGAATTTGTATGACTTTTTCAACGAAACTGAGGCCTTCTGTCAAATTCCCAACCTCATTCCGATCTTCTAATTAAACTGGGTCTAAAGACTCAGGTTCTTCAATTTTTGCTCTTGCTTATGCATTTCTATAAGTTCATCAATTGTTGGCTCCTGATTGTGGGAATCCCACAATTCGGGATCGTCTTCATTATCCAATTATAAATTTATTTCCCAGGCAATATATCGGCAATTTCTTCAAACACAATACCAATTTCATCAGATAATTGAGTTGTGTAGATCTCAAACAGAAGATGAATTGACGAGATTTGAAAATCGCATTGCTCCGAATTCGCGTAAGTCTAGGTAATACTGTGTTTAATGGAAAAGCGGCTAAATGTGAGGTTGGCTGTAAAAACTGCAATTAAAACACCTATCTATTGGAGAAGAACTAAATTATTTTCAGAGTAACGCGCAATATTTGAAAATATATATAGAAATGTAAGAATTGAGAAAAGTGTTTATTTCATATTGAAATAAAAATTAAACTTCTGATGTCTCTATTCGCGTCCTTCTTATTAGGAAATCCTCTTGGGGAATCTTTGGTCCTTAAAAACAGTTTTATTAGAAAACATCCTTAGAAGAAGAGAACGTGAATATGTAAATTACAAACATCCATGTCTTCTCCAGGATTCGAACCCAGACCCAGAGCACAGAAGTCAGCGTCGCTAACCACTATACCGGATAAACTGGACTATAATTAATTTTTCTAAGCGTTTGAAACATTTTACTAATAAGTCTTTATTTAATGTTCATTGTCTGAAAATTTCAATTATTTAAACTTTATTCCAAGTCTGCTTACTTTCAATAACACGGTATGATAATTTTAATTTCGATAAAACCGTGAGTAAAAAACTTATTGTTTCTCGCATCAATCTTACAAAGCAAAACTGCCATTCAAATGCTTTGAAAGATCGAAAAGTACACGGATTATAATTAATCAGCGAAGATGCATTTAGTTTTAAAAAGAACCTTTAATATGTTCGAGATATATTATTGTTCCTTAAGAACAATAAATCAATTCCTTCGTTTATGTTTCTTTGCATGGTATGAGACTTGAGTATTGTTCGGTGAATTTATATTAAAGGAATATATTTTTGCTTCTTCACGTTGTAAAGTTAAAAGTTAGAAAATTATCCATTAGAAAGTCATCCATTTGTTAAAATAAACTTAATTAATCTTTATAAGTTGGAGAATGTTATTAAAATTTCTAAAAGTCTTTTACATAAAAGAAGTGAATTGAGTGTTTCCTGGAAATAAACTTTTCTTGCAACTCTCCGTTCTATAAACATAGTATATGAGTGCAACTTAATAGGAGTCTGAATTTTGTCCAAACATTTAATAAATTTGGGAATTTGATTAACGTTAACTTTGTTTGCATGATTTTCTCCTTGTATTACTTTTCATCCCAAGAAATAAAACAACAAGAGATTTAAATAAATAATAAAAGAATAAAAACAAGAAGGTGAAATATTCAAGAATAAAAACAAGTGTTTTCATATAAAAAAAATCACAGAATAATTTTTCATGCATAACAAAACCAGGGAGACGTGGTTTTTTATACGTATGCAGGTGACTTTAATGCTTGAATTTTTTTTCTGGCCTGTAGAAGCTGTCAGTGACCCGTAGACCGTTGACGAGCGATAAAGTGGAAGTGAGCACCACCCGAGTCTCGTTTTAAACAAAAAAAACATGATTTTATTCAATTCCTACTATTAGTTCCCTCTCTCCTGGTGTATATATGACATAATTCCCTCTAGTATCCTTTTTATTAACTCTGTGTACTAATATTTAAAATAACTTTAACCCTTTGGTTTAAAATTAACATTGTAATCTTAATCGTAATCGGCTAGTCCGAAATCTCTGTCCCGACCATTCTATCCAATCAGAACTACTATTACGTAATCATCACGCGCTTGCACTGCTGGTATAAAAGCAAAAATATTGTGTAATCGCTCTCTTTTTGTCTACCTGCCTTCATTATATAATCAGCAGGCTGCAACGCGTTCTATGTTTGTCTTTGTCTGTGTTTGTGCCATGATGTTTGCTTCTTGTTATTTATAATGCCGTCCCTACTGAATCTTTATGTGTTTCCGGATGTGAATAAAAAGGAACAACGATTTACATGAGTGCCTCTTCGATAATACTGTACTCGAGCACGCTCCGCGTAACACAGAAAATCACATCACCGGCCACGCCCTACCTTTGGTTCGCCATTGTTTAAATCAACCACTCTCCAGAAATATTATAAATATATATCATAAATATATATACCTTGTTCAAATTTTCAATCGTTAGTAAAATACTGTATATTCATCCATTCAAGTTCAAATACATTTTTTTAACTCATGTTGGATAGTATTTTAGTAATTCATTTGCTGTTAAAACAGTAGTTTTTTGAAATATTAATTCATTCATTAAATTAAAAAATGAATAAATAGTAACAAACAAAAGTAATAGTCAAACAGCATACACAGAAAGAAAAATCGTTCATTGCGTCTCTGTAGACAATGGATAGTGCGTTGAACTTCAATTCCAAAGGTCATGGGTTCAGATCCCACCTGGGATGGCCTAATTTCTGAAAATGTGATTTCTTCATTACTATACAGTTTGATTAGAATAATTAAATTTAGTTAATGAATAAACAGTAACAAAAAAAATAGTCCAATGCCCTATATAGAAAGGAAATTGAAAAATTGCAAGGAAAATCGCTTTCTATTTTGTCCTTTAAAATGTGATTCTGTCATATGCATATACATATTTATATTAATTGTAACTACTTAATAAAGTACTACTAAAATAAAATTCGTCTTTATTGATCTAAGTAGGAATTCACTTATTTTTTTTTATATTGCTTGTTATGTAAAGCTTGGTGAGAGAAATTCTCAGGGACCAGAAAACCAGATTTCAATCCAGAAAAGACATAATCTAGAATTCAACCTATCAGGACGACGAGATCCAACGGGGTTAATATCGGAAATATTTACTTAATACCTATTGATGTAACAATATGATGTTATAAATTACAAGAGTTAATATCGAATGACCTTGTCATTTTGAACCAGGGGAAAATGAGAAGGCCAATATCTAAACTGGCCCCAACCCACTCCAACTTCCATATCATGCCAACGTGAGGACTTTGCAGCTCGATAATTTTTTCGCGCATCAACCTTTTCACACGGAGGACCAATGTTGGTTGCGAGCTTATGACAATGACCTCTCGGCTATTTCAAAAGAAATGAGGTATTCCAAAGAGACTGCTGTGAGATTAGTGAGCGAGTTTTTACTAAAATCGAACTACCCCAGGAGTGATCGCGCGGGGCACAGAGTCACCCCAGACTAAAGAAATCTTTACTTCTGGGAAAAGTTTTATTTTTTGCCAATGACTTTGCCAGTATTCTCTTACATGACAGTCTTCATGGGAAATAAGACCTAATAGTCACATACCTTCCGTTTTCTGGGGGAGAGTGGCAAACGTTTTTTACAATGTTAAGGTACTCTTTTTGATTAAGTTCCCCAAGCAACAACTTTGGTTTAGGAATATTTTCTATGAACATGCTACATCCCTCTCCCGGAACAACTTAGTGGTTTTGATTGCTGTGTTATAGGGCTTATTGTGGTTTATAAATATGAATGAGTAGATTATAAAAACAAGTAATATAAAAAAAATTAAGTCAATTCCTACTTAGATCAACAAAGAAAAATTTCATTTTAGCTACTTTTTATTAAATAGTTGCAATTAATATAAATATGTACATACATAGGACAGAATCATAACATTAAATGGTAATTAATTTTTATTAATTATCATTAAAGTATCGTATTGTCATCCAAAACAATCGTGTATAAAAAAATTTCAGTTCAACTGAATGCTTTAAAACGTGAGAAAAAAACCTTTTCAAGTTTTGACACAAGTCGCCAAAACGGTCACTATGTCACCAGAAATGATGTCAATGTTGTTGTATTTGTAATTCTTTGAATTGTTAGTTTTAATAAATTAATTGTTATTAATTATAATTAAATTATTGTATTGTTATCCAAAATAATCATGTTATAAAATTTGAGCTCAAATGAGCGCTTTAAAATGTATTTTATTAACTATTAAAATTCCACGAAGATAAATAAATAAATATAGAGAGAGTGTGAGCTAATAGTAGGAATTGAATAAAAAGAGAAATGGTATCTGCAATCTAACCGTGCAAAAACAATCGAGCAGAAAAATGTATGAAACATATGATAAATTTGGTGATATGTTCCACCATTTTAAAAAATTGTGTAAGATGAAAAGCCTTTAAATATTTTCCTAAAATCCGGGCAAAAAAATAATAATGATGTCCTTGTTACATATTTATAAAACAAAACAATTAATTTTTGCTACAAAGAATTAAAATTAGATAAAATTCAGTTTGTAAGTGCATACTATATATAAAAATTCAGATTGAAATTGGGAATAAAACTATATATATATATACTAACAACTATTCATCGCTACTTGAGAACAAGCATGCACGTTTATTAATAACTGAAATTAATTAGTAGATGTGTGAGATATGTTGAGAACACACAACTGTCATTTTTTATTCAAATGAAGATTTTGCTCGTTATTAACGACTTTTTTGTCGGGAATTTTTTTTTTTTTTTTTTGCTGTTGTTACAAAATCTGTTATTAGCAGCCGTTCTTTGAGTTGCTCATGTTGTTTATTATTATTTTTGATATCCTGCAACACAAGAGACTTAAGGCAACGTTGACATCTTAATGCACACAGAATCTCGCGTAAGAAAATGTTGCTCCATACTTGTAGCAAATTTCAAGTCCTCGCGAAATAAATCAGCTTTTAATAGCTGAACTTCGAATTTGCCAGTATCTTGACTTCTTTATTATAATAAACTCGCTCAAATCAACCTCATTCATTGGGTAAGTGTCTCCAAATGTTTTGGAATTTGTGCTAGAACAATAAAAAGTCATGTAAAAAAATCGTTAAATTCGTGCAGCGTGTTGTTTCAGAATCGTGTAAAAAAAGACCATGTAAAAAAGAGTTAGGTAAATATAATATCACATAATTTTTACAGCACAAGAAAAATAACGCTAAAATTCTACCTCAAATACTTAAATGTATTATTTAATATTTAACGTTTTTATAAATTGATACATACATTTAAAATATTTCTTTTGATCCCTTTTTGTTAGAAAATATTTCAGAAAACCTTTTTAATGCACCAGTAACTTGCGTCAGAGTAATTAAAAGGTATGCGGAAGTATTATGATTCAAAATTATATTATCATTCGCGCATACTTAATTATAAGTATTTAAAGAATTAATTAAGACTTTTAAATAATCGGATCATTTATTGTTATTAATTTTAACAATTATAATAATCATTTTTCTCTCAAATGCTCTCTCGAGCATTATTTTAAAAAATAGATTTAAATTACTTTTTATGTAATAATGTTGAAATATTTTTACAAAATGAAGAAATGCGATATAAAGATATTTCATTTCCAGAAATAAGATTTACTTAAAAGTCTTGCATAATGGGAGAGTTATTAATGGAATATTTATAAACCCGATAATTTAATTGATGTAAAGTAAAAGAAATAAAAGCAAGTGCTCTTATGTGAAAGTTATAAGGTTTTCTTATGTTTTATATTTCAAAATTTGTAACACTCTCTATTTAATTTTTTATGCAAAATACACGACAGGGCAAATTTTCTTGAAAAAATTACATTTTTTATTTTAAAAAGATGTTTAAAAATATAAAAAAGAATCTCTGCACAAAAAAAAATTATGTATAGGGTGTTTTTTTTCCAGGTATAGAAGTTTAATTTGGCATTACTTTCCAAAATGGCGACCGATTTAACAGCTGTCAAGTGATCTATTCTCAGTTTGGTTTGGCAATTCATCAAAACGATCATCAAGCAAGGCGTAAATTCGTCGAATGGGCCCAAAACGAGATTGCCGTTGTTCCCGATTTTCATAAGCGAATTTTGTTTAGCGATGAAGCGCACTTCTGGTTGAATGGCTACGTCAACAAACAAAACTGCCGCATTTGGAGTGAAGCTAATCCACAAGTGTATGTCGAAACACCGTTACTTCCAGAAAAACTGACTGTTTGGTGCGCTTTATGGATGGTGGAATGATTCTTCAAAAACGATGAAGACCACAACGTTACAGTCAATGGTGATCGGTATAGAGCCATGATTACTAACTTTTTCATTGCTGAATTGAACAAACATGATGTCCAAGAGCTGTGGTTCCAACAAGACGGCGCAACATGTCACACAGCTCGTGCCACAATCGATTTATTGAAAGACACGTTTGGTGACCGCCTAATTTCACGTTTTGGACCTGTGAATTGGCCTCCAAGATCTTGTGATTTAACACCGCTAGACTATTTTCTGTAGGGCTATGTAAAGTCATTGGTCTATGCGGATAAGGCGCAAACGCTTGACCATTTGGAAGACAACATTCGCCGTGTTATTGCCGATATACGGCCACAAATGTTGGAAAAAGTCATTGAAAATTGGACGTCCAGATTGGACTACATCCGAGCCAGCCGTGGCAGTCGTATGCCAGAAATCATATTTAAAATGTAATGCCACAAGATTATCTTTCGAATAAAAAAAATTCATGTCAATCGAATAATACATCGTTGTTTTATTGCAATTTAAAGTTCTATACCTCTAAGAAAACACCCTTTATTTGATTTCTTTTCATAGAAGAAATATCATGCAATGATTTCGTAAATCTAACTAATCTAAGGAAATGAGATATTAAATTTATTTTTAAATAAAGGAGCATATTTTAAAAAAATTCACGACAATTTCAAAAGATTACACAATTTGTTTCTATTACACTTGCTAAGAATGACTTAATGTCCAATCTTTTTACGATTGAAGAATTCAAATGCGAAAATGAAAGTGATTAAAGAATGAGGATTAGTAAAAAATAAAAGTTATACGTATATATTAAAATTTATCTTTTTTGTGAGTTATTCATTGTAAAAAGAGGATCGTGTTTAGTTAAATAGTACACTTAAAAATATAAAAATCTATTAACCGAGGAGTTATTCCTTTATGTACCGCATTATTACTTACTGCTTTTTTTTCATGGAATATTTCTTTTGGATCACTACACTGAAAATTAAGGGGTATACATAAACAAAATACTCAACTTTGAAAAATTTAATCCCTTAGAGCTAATTAATTAATTAAAGGTATTTAACTGTAAAATAAATTATATACACTGTTCACTTAAAATAAAGAGTCAAATCGTTTTATAATGTCTTCATTAACATACAAAAAAATGACTCTTAAATTTTGATATTAGCTATTTTTTGGGACAAAAATCATAATTTTCGCAATCCACTGAAAACGCAATTTCCGCTATAAAACTATCCGCCTTCCCCGCTAAAATACTAATCACAGAACTCGTGCTCCTATATATATTGGAAGAGTGGATTTCAAAGGATATTCCTGCTAAGTATCGCCAGAATATTCGTAAAAATGGTTATTCTATGTAATTTTAAAGTGAGTGGTACTTATAAGTATCGTCTGTAGATAAAGTGTTA